ATGTACCTGCTTTTAGTAAAGATTTTTCGATAATCATATAATTTAGGTAAAATTGTTCCACACGGATTCACGTTTTTCGCAGCATCTTTCTTAATATAAATTCATTTTGATTCTCTTATACTGTCAACTTTCTTCAACAAAGTACTTATTTTTTCAGGCAAATAATTTATAATCTTTTCCCAGACATCCAATTTTTCGTACCTCAGAAAAAATGTCCCAGTAATCTTCTTTTTTGAGAATTTCAGTTCTTTTCTTGGAAATCTTTTCAATTCCCCCGAAACCCCCATCGGCTGGGAGAAATAAATGGCATCTTACTGGAAAACTAGAAGAATCGTATTTAGGTTGCCAGGGGCATTCTGATACAACCAAAATATCAGTATGCCTGTAACAATCGAATTCTTGTTTTGGTTCGAGCAAAATAATCTCAGACATGTGCAATTCTCTGGCCAAATAACTTTGTTCAAAAACTCATACAAAGATGAACCGATTTCATTACAGCCTCTTCCTGCCTGTGACTCTAACCAGCTATAAAAAACAGGAATCTTTGTTTCGAAGTCAGTGGCACAAAAATTATATAATGCCAATTACGTGGCATAAAACGCTTCCTGTATTGATAATTTGGGCTGAACTTGAACTTGCTTAAGTCGAAACAAAAGAAGATTATCATTCATCATAGTATTGAATTGTTTTGCAGACAACTTCTGTATTCTTAATTTCATCATTACACATGCCTTTTCTTCCGGAAATTCTAATTTTTTATGAATTACTTAATAACAGAAAGTGCAAACATCCGTAGCAGATAATCCAAATCCTATTTTGAATTTGAGGCAAAAATTTGAGAAAAATAGGTTTTCTCTACTTTCAAATAATTTTCAACGGACGAATTATACATTTTGAACAGTTTTGACACATTTAATTCAGAAGGCAAACAAATCCTCTTGGATTTTTGTCTGTTGTAATAAGATTCCGTTGCCTTGAGATTTCCTAAAAAGTAAATAACAGCTCTTCGTTTTTCAGAGTACTTTGCAGATTGACGAACCTCGCCCCTGATTTATCTAATTCCGCTGAGAAAGGCTTAAAACTGTACAAAAAATGTTCAGCATGTTTTTATTCTCGTCATGAAATGCGTAATTTACTCGAACATTTTGTAATTTTTTTATATGATTTTTTTTGTTTTAGGATTCTGAGCAAGTGTGCTATTTTGTTATTTTGAATTAATTTATTTCTCACACGTTATATTTTTTTCTAACTGCTATAATATTTTCTTTAGATATGGACTCACAACTAAATCTCTTTGTTTTGTGCTTACACGGTCGTTGAAAACCCTCTAAATTTAGAAAATGATTAGCATATCTAAAAATTGCATTCATTTACAAAACATTTCTAACTTTCTATTCTTACCTTATTTCCGTGTTTTTTTTTTCTTTTATGAGGTTTCTTAATTTGTGTCCTTACTCCCGATGATCCATCATTAACTGCTCCATTATCATTTAGTTATAAATAACAATTTTCTCACAAACCGCAACTACAATTTGATTGCAACAGCGTTAACACAACTTTAAAAATGCTGCGTTTTCAAACGATCCAAATTAACAAGAAATTGTATTTTGAAGTGTATCGTTATTTTTCTACATGAAAATTAATGCCAAAGACTGCGAATAGTGCGAATTGAAACAAGTTGTAATATATATTCACATGCATTGCTTTTTAAAGCACATAATGCCATCTACATCTCAAAATGTGCATTTCAGTAAAAAACTCCGTTTTGAAAAGTCACTCCTTCACTATCAACACAGGTGTTTGCTTCAGATCTTTCAGTTTCATTTTCATAATCACATTTTAGCAATGCCTTTTTGCACTTACTTTGGTTGGTGCTGCAAATTTTACATGAGCAACTAAGTAGTTTTAATTTTTTTGCCAACCCCAAAGCCCCGGATCAGTTAAGAAAGTTTGTTTTATCAAGCACTGCCCCTAGTATCCAGCTTGATAGGCGATCCTCTTGATATGCTGAAATAAAGCTGCTTTGTTGATGACATTCTGTCGAGAGTTCTATCCAACACTCATTAACTGTGCAATGAGATGACATCATACAATAATACAACACATTTTTGTAGTTCTTCCATAAATACCTCAATATCAATAGGCTCCTGTGACAAAAGCTAGTATGAGCAATTCTATGACATTTTTTAAACCAATTTCTCACCATAACGAGCTAATGAGGAAGTTATGTAACTTCCAGTGAATGCATGGAAAATGATTCGTGTTCCCGCTTCTTCTCTAGCCAAGTAGTCGGCTATTTCGTTACCTTCCATACCAGAGTGGCCGGGTATCCAGACCGAAGTCACTTTATTGTTTTTGCTCAAATGACTTAAAGCCTTCTGAAAATTCCATACCGTTTTGGAGTTACACCGGTAGGAGCCAAGAGCTTTTATAGCTGCTTGGCTATCTTCATGTGTACACATAGGTATGTTGTATCAGATCATATCTCCTTCCTTGTCCTGTCGAGTTAAAAACTTCCCTGCTAGTAAACCAAACAATTCCATTTTGTTTGCGTCATTGCACAAAAAGTTTATCCAGTTTCTTGGAATATCGTATTTGCACCTCTGAACATTCTGGCCCCTGACTTTCAAACTGTCAGATCTATAGTCATCCCTAACAATGTCAACTCGGTTTACATCTTATTGAGATAAGACATTGATGGCAAATTTCTCTGCATATCCGTCAAATGTCTTGACTTCCCAGGAGGTATCCCAAATAGTCAAATATGTTTCTGTGGCACTAGAGAGCATCACATTTCTTTTATTTTTTAGGTGCACATAGTCTGACGAAGAACTTGGAAATGATTGATTTTCATGGTTGAACAAGTCGTTAAGATCAGAACCACACTGTTGACGACCAATCTTCAGTTTTCAGAGAAAAGACTTACACAATTTCTCACGGCTCTCATTGTCAATTGTGTTTTGTCTTGTACAGGAATTTTTGTTTTAAATAATTTCACTTGATTGAGTTTGATTGAAGTGTCTGTTGATATCGTTTGGTGTTCAAGTATATGATGAGCGAATTCCTTAAACTCTCGAATTACAAGAGCTTTTAGTTCCTTCAATCCTCAATCCATGTTGGTTTAGTGGTAAAATTTTAAAAAATCACCACTGTTCTCGAAGATGGCGCCCATTTTCGCCCAAAATGTTCTGAGCCCTACCTCAAAATGTTTGCACCCATATATATCCCTGAAAGCTTCAGCTTTTTTTCCAAAAGTGCACAGTTGTGCTAACTTCTCAATTAAAGTCATTTATTCAAATCATGTGATCTTAGTCAAAAAGTTAAAAATTGTATCGATTCTATGCGAACCATCGTTTATCTGTTATCTCAGTACCATTTTCAAAGACATTGGTGGTTCATACTTTTAGGCAATCCAGAAGAAAAAAAATGAAACAAACGAAAAGTCAGAGATTTACGAAATTAGCTATACGGACTGTAATCAAAAGTATGTTGGGCAAACTAGACGATCAATTCAAACTAGATTCAAGAAAAATTTGGCAAATACAGCAGCTTTGCCCAACATCCGTTTAAGATTAACCATAAAATATATAGTAGTAATCTAAGATTGATTAGGAATGTAACAAATACTAGACAACTGGATGCATTTGACAACTTAGAAATTAGAAGGTAGAAAAATAATATGAATAATGACAGAGGGCCAATATTGTCTGCTCTAATAATTAGTCAGTCACGGTTCACCGAACCCTAACAACAATTTGGATCTAAATATGTTACATTGTTAGCATAAGGTTAGTTTTAATCATCTCCAGATGATGCCAACTTAGTTGGCGAAATGTGCGTCGAATACAGTATGATGTTTTAGTGTTTTGTGGAAAACCATGTCAATGTTGAACTAATGTATGTAAATCCAAGTAAAATATAATAATAATTCAGAGGATATAACATTATCTGTTTGCTACGGTCGCCTCCCATGACACGTCGAGATACATCTGAAACCTTCAAAACAACTAGTTCTAGTTATTTAATCTTCTCTTTTGGACATATTATTTAAATTGATGCAGTTGCAAAACTATGTCAGGCATAGTTTATTATCTGTTAATGTTCATTATACGTTTAAATGTACGTCCCTTTAAACCCAGATATATTTCAGCGTTAAAACAGACATAAACAATTTCACGTACTTAGTTTTCATATTCTACTTGTGAGATAAATCATTTTAAACTTGACGGATATAATATACCGGCTGGCAATTAAAACTAAAAGAAAAAAATAACGTTTTAGCACTGCAAAGAGCAAGAGAATATGGCGAAACAAAAAAAACTGAATATTATCCACAAACTTGTATTGTATACATTTTTCGTAGAAGCTCAAAAGGCAGTTACCCTGCCCTACTAATTTCTGAACGGTTGCAAATAATGTTTTAAAATTTGGAGGATATATTCCCAGATAGATTTGCGACTGTTTTAGCCTAAATTAAAAAATTGACATTCCAATATGGCGTCTAGCCTGGATATTGATCCCTTGTCTAATGTCGCGCCAAGGTATGTAATACCTTGAATTAAAGATATTTTTATCAATAAAAACTTCCTAAAATTTTACGATAATGTGATGAGGTATAATAAAATGGCAGTATTTAAAAAATCTATACCCGCACATCCTGTTCTTTTATCTGCCTGATATTTTACAAAGTGTACAGGTAGAAAGTGAGTGAATAAAGAAATTACCAATTTATTAATGTAAATAAGCATTTAAATTAAAAATAATCAAAAATCAGTTAATGAAACAAGTAAAATGTAATTTATACCTAGTCTTTATTATTTAGAGTATTTTCTAAGAATTAATTATAATTAATAATTAACACTACAGGTATTACAACCCCCTGTATCCCTGAAGATACCCCAAGGTACCTTGTGTGGGAGAAGGCTACCCATTTATAGACAATGGACACACGCCCAATATTCAAGCATGCTAAGATTAATCTCTAGTTTAGAAAAAAATCTTAGTTCCTCGGCTGGAGATCGAACCCGGGGCTCCAGCGTGAGAGACAGGTGTTCTTACCACTCGACCACGAAGCCACATTAATTAAATAACAGTAACAGTAAACAAAATTAACATTAAACGAACTTAAATAGTTAGTAATAGGTAACTAAGGTGTAAATTAAATTTATTTACAGTGAACACTTTTTTATGAATTCTTCCAGAACTCTTCTCATCGTTGTATCATTTATAATTCTGGACGTTTCAAGTCTGTCGGTGACAAGTCAGGAAATCGCGCTGGCCACACTATCAGACCTTCTCGGCCTATCTATCGATTCGGAAGTTTTATTTAAAAAATTTCTTCCAGGGGCTCCAATTGAAGAATTATATCATTTTGTTTAAATTCGTCAGGATGTTCTTGAACTACAGTATGAATTCTTGATAATATTTCCGTTTCAAGAAGTTGTTGTTACAGAGGCCTCGACAAATCTCCTGGAATGAAAACAAGCTCCACAATGCCCAACACAAATTTAATTTTTGGGGATATCGGGTATAAAGTTCACGCAAAACGGGAGGGCTCCAGAATCTCAACTGCTGCAGATTAAGTCTCCCATTCAGTTAGAATGTTGATTCATCATCAGTGAAACAGATATTCTTTACATAGTTTGGGTATCTTCCAATTAAACCTTCATCTGTGATCGGGATCCCCAGCCAAAATTTCACGTAATGATTTAAATTTATACGGGAAATATTTTCTCTGTTTTAAAAGTTTTTACAGAATTTCTGGAAATATGACAAATACCTGCTAGTGATCTTACATTATTTTGCTCGCCTTTAAGCTATTACTTGATTTTTTGTATTAACGGATATTTTTATTCTGCCGGTTTTTTCACGGTCATTTAACTTTCCTGTATTTTTGAAAATATCAGGACCAACTGCATCAAGTACTGCTAGAGGACGATCTAGAAAACATATAAAGATACTCAGATTTTTTTGTCACTCATAAATTCATAATTAAAAAATTGTAAAATCCTCTAATAACGATTTATAGGTATAAATTCCACTTGTTTACTGATTTTTGATTAACACCATATTGGAATATTCATTTTTTAATTTAGAATCACATATTTTATTATGTATCAATTACTTATTAGCTACGTCCTGATTATTTTTGCATTAATAAATTTTACTAATTCAATTTTTGCATCCAGTTTCAGGATAAATCGAATAGAATCTCCAATTCAACCGATAGAAGGAGACTGTGGGGAATCGCTCACCCTGTATGATGCGTCCTGGCCGGACGACTCAAAAATTATCAAAACTTTCTGTGATACCTTTTCCAAAGCCATGGAGAAACACGACTTTGTGTCAACCGGAAATGCCCTCTTTGTAAGATTCGAGAGCAAAACGGGAAGTTATAGTGGGTAAGATTTATTTCTACACAAAAATATGTGGAAAGAAAGGTATCATTAGGATTTTATACAAATAATTTCCAAGTTGTACTAACAGGTACTACGTGTCTTAGGGTAATTTGTAACTTCTCTAGCAAAAAATGTAATAAATATTAACTGTAATAGTAGAGGAATACAAATTTGTAGCGTGAAAAATTGTTAGGCTGCTTAAAATTTGCCATGATTAGGATTATTTAGAGATTGTGTATAAGGGTACAAAACCCCTTTACTTTTATTTTTCCAAAACTGGAAGAGAGATCGCCATGGTTAAAATAACCAATAATTTCCTAGTTATTGTATTCTCAATTTGTGGACTGGTATATTTATTGAAACACATGTTACATATTTTTAATTTTATTAACTTTAAGCTCAGTTTTTGATATAATAAAAAAAGGTTTAAAATTTTGTTTGGGTATTCGAGAAATATGTAGTTACGATGAGAAACGGAGGCACACCAGTCAAAACAAAATTGAGAAATGAAATTGAAAAGTACTGCCAAATTTTATGAATATGTTTCGCATCTCGAATCTTAAATGATTGGTTAGTCATTTTTGTTTTTATAAATGAAAGGAAGAAATAGAGAATGAAATATTTGCATAAAGTTATATTTGTAGCGAGTCAATCTTACATGGTACATTCATAATGAAATACCATAAAATGCTATATAAAAAACAAAAATATACCTACAAGTATTTACCAGCGTGCACGCTTTATATTAAAGTCCAAGTTTCTGGTTAGACATGCATCCACTGAATAAAAATTCGTTTGTAATAGAAATTAATACTGTTTTTAAATTAAATTGAATCTAACAAATTAAGTTCAGACGGAGGTTTATTGTAGATATTCAGATTTAAAAAGTTTTTAGAACAAGTTGCAAATCTTTGAGTTTCTTTGTTAACATAGGATTTATAAAAAGTGCAATCATCGACAAATAATAAGCATTTAAGGAATTATAGAAGAATATGTCGTTTCATAAACAATAAAAAGCAGCGGTCCCAGAACAGATCCTTGAGGTACACCATACCAAATTAAAGACAAGTCAGATGATATACCACTTAAGTGAACAGATTGATAACGCACAAATTAATAGGAGATGAAGAAGTTAATAAGTTAGTTATATAGGTTAATACCAAGGAAAATTTATAATTTTTCTAAGAATTTTTTTACCTTTATTAGATAAACATTAGACAAACATTGGACATAAACATGCACTCACCTGGCTACTTAAAATGTTTACATCATCTAATTTGTGGTAACCATTTACAATAAAAGCATCACTTTGCTTATCTAAGTTAGTTCTGGTCAATTTTTGATTAATTATAATAGCTTGCGCTATTTTCAATGGACTTTAATACACGGCGAATAGTAGAACCTGATGTGAAGAAGCATGGTTGCCTTTATATTACTGTGTATGATCTGATTGACAACTGTTATTCACATCGTTAAATTAGACCTTCGCTCATTGCTACTCAGAGAAGATTTTAGTTTCAGTTCCTTAGTACCTTCAATAACTTCTCTACAAAAGAGATTATCTACCCGACCAAGATTTACCACCAGCCACCGACTTTGACCGCGTAGGATTAAAAAGAATACTAAACCCGATAATGATATGAAAATCTCGTATACCTAAAACTGTAAAACCACAATATTGCAACTGTGTCATAGTTTGACACGATGTGGTAAATATAGTGTGGAACAGCCAAATGGAATAAATTCAGTATATCAATTATTGTGCATATTTATAAAAAAATCCGATACACGTCAATTTTGGATTTGAAAGTGACATCCTGCAACGTAAAAATTTCATCTCTAAATTTAACCTCCTTCGAATGGCAGTTGCAACCTCTAAATTTTTAAATGGGAAGTAGGGGCTTGTGATACCTCATTTGAAAGGTCTTTTCATTCTCTATTCAAAAGTGCTTGATTTTAATGTTTGTTGCAAACGTTAACGGTCTGCTTGACGAAATTCGCTACAATAAACGAAAAACAAAAACTTACAGCGTTTTGTTCTTGCAGGCTAGCAAATACAATTTGTGTTATTTTTCGACATTATCAACTAAAAATACGACATAAAAACTTATCAAAATCTTCATATCTGGCATGGCCAGTTTGATTGAAAACGCCGTAACTACTTGCTATTTGCAGAGACTATAGTCTCTGCTATTTGATTGACAGCAATAAATAGTTGTCAGTGTTTTGCGTATTGTTTGAGTTTTGCTAACTGCAATTCCTAAACATGGTTTATTTAACAGAAATGCATAAAATAACAATTATACAGATGGTTGGTTACGGAGATAGAATGCGATCACAGGGCGAAGTTGAGCGCCTATTTCAAAAAAATTTCCTGATTTCCCATCTATATCCCAAGGTACAATTATAAAAATTGAAACGCAGTTTCGCGAAAATGGACATGTACGTCAGATAATAAAAAAATTCCAATGCAATGAGTAACGATGCCAAATTAGATATACTGCTTGAGTTTGAAGAAACCCCACATAGTTCAAATCGACAAGCAGCATTGAATTTTTCCCATTCTTCGATTATTCGTCTATTAAAAGAAAATAAAATGCATCCCTATAAACTCACCCCAACTCAGGAGCTTAGTGAAGACGATTTTGATAGAAGAACGTATTTTTCTGAACAAATGATTCATAGGTTAGATAATAATGTTATCCAACTAGAAAATGTTTTGGTTTCTAATGAGTCCACTTTTACTCTTCACGGCCATTTTAATCGTCAAAGCTGTCGCTACTGGGCTAATGAAAATCCTCACTGGATGAGAAAATTACATACGCAAAATCCTGAAAAGGTTAATGTTTGGGCCGGGATAATTGGAGACTATGTCATGGGTCCCTTTTCCATTAATGGCAATTTGAATGGAGATGATTATTTAGCGCTGCTCCAAAATAACGTCGTACCAACTTTGGCAAACTTATATTCTGCTCAAGCATACCCATAAGTTCCAGCCGATGTGATATGGTTCCAGCAGGATAGAGCACCACCAGATTACCGAATCAATGTCCGGCAATATCTCGACGTAACATTTCCAAATCGGTGGATAGGGAGGCGAGGATCGCTAGAATGGCCAGCACGTTCTCCTGATCTTACACCCTTAGATTTCTATTTATGGGGGTATGTAAATAGTATGGTATACAAAACGAAGCCAAGCGATATAACTGACTTGAGAAGAAAAATAACGGTTGCGGTAAGGTCGGTCACGCCTCAGATGTTGGAAAACGTTAGAAGACATTTTTATTTAAGACTAAGATGCTGCCAAAACGTTCAAGAAACTCATTTTGAACATCTCCTTCGTTGAAATTAAGTTTTATTTAGTTTTCTGTAGCGACTTTCATCAAGCAGATGAGTTTATTTTTAACACGCTTTTATTAGCTTCACTTGTATGTTTGTTTGCTTGTTTGTTTGTAACCGACTCTTTGGACTCGATTTTGACCCACTTTAATCGGACAGATTTAATTGAAACTTAGTACACTTACGAAAAACCGGTAACAATACAATAATTTGATAAGTTTATATCATTATCCTGATCAGGATCGCCAGTCCTTTCCTCACGTATCCTCTGCGTGAGAGCAAGAGGCTTAATATTGTAAGTATATTGCGGGATTCTCGTTCGGTCGTTGGCCGAGCGG